AACATGTTGAAAATTAATAGGCTTTTGCACAAGCCATGTTGCCAATGTTGTCATTCTACCCTTGTCAAGATGAGAAATAAAGAAATTAAAAAAAACAAACAAACAAAAAAACAACTAAATTGTAGAACCTGGCTTAAAACGGGAGGACCCTTCACGAGGTGCACTAAGACGCCGAAAAAGCCTCACCACACGCAATAAACAGCAAGAACCACAAACACACACTATGACAAGGTGCTCACCAAAGAGCATGCGCTCGCTCAACTCACTTTGTAAATAGTTCACACCCACCTTTCCTTTTATTTTTCAAACTAAAAAATGATCAAGCACGAACAAGAGGGACGTTTAACAATGGGTACAGATAGTTAAGATAGGGGAACCACATGGGAGAATGTTAGGGGACGGTGGGCAGAGATAAAGAACAACAACAACCAGAAGATATCACTCTGTTGGAGTCTCGAGACAGGAAGAAAGGAATAGGGGGCCGTGAAGGCCATAGGGTAATGGCCATGACCAGGAGATATTCCGAGAACAATATTAGGGAACATAAATTTCAAAGCCAAATATTGCATGTATATCTGTATGTTTACTGTGTGATCTGTGATCTCGCTGAATTCCCTACTGCGTTAGGGTCGGAAAAGTATGCCCTTACCCCTTCTCCTTTTTCTGTACCCCAATGCAAAGCAATAATCTTGACTCAATAAAAATTGTCAATTTGAAAAAAAACTTAAAAACCCTTCCCATTCATATTTTCTTAACCTGGAATACTAATATTCACTGCAAGAAGAGCATTTCATTATGTATGAAACGGGTCTGCCTTCCTACTTCTTGCAGCCCCTTATGGGTTTTAATCCTATGTCCTGGCAGTGTGAGGTAAACCAAGTGCTGTCTGTGCTGCTGTTTGCACAAAACAGCACATCGGCAAGTTACCTCTACACTAGTCTCGTCACCCTGGCCATATGACTCCTCCCAAGGGGGGATGCGATGATTAGCCACTTCTCCTGACCGCATATGTGTCCCACTCAACTGTGACGCATGCAGTCCACAGATATCACACTGTCTTTTTACCCAATTCCCAACTGTGGTGAAAATAACCTCGCCACTGGGTTTTGGAGAGGCCTGTTTGCCAGCCTCTTGCCCTGTGACTATGGCCCCTGGGGTGTATTGCCATTTAAAAAGTCTATTTGGGCTTATTGGATTTTAAAGCACTTTTTCTAATAGAGGAGAAGATAGAAAAGCCATGCTTGCGGTCGGTCAGATGTGACTTCCATGGAATTCATGAACCCCTGCTCTGATCTGGGTGATTTTTGGATATGTTGTTCACCCTGATCAGGGCTATCCAGGGATATGTGGTGTTTTGGGGTGTTTTCTGTGTTTTGGGAAAAATGTGTGTTTTCTGCCTGTGAGTAATTAAGTTAGCCCATTGTGTTTTGTTAATTGTATCACAGGCAGAGGGGAGGGTTTGTGTACATTGTCTGGGAGTGTCTAAATGTACAAGTATGTCCTGGTTTTTGCAACTTTGTATCCTGTGTACCACAAGGTCCACGTGGGTAGTAACCTTGTGGGAAAACCTGTATATAAGAGAGAATAAACCCTCAGACTGCTGAGTTCCTGTTTTACCCTCAACATAGAGCCTCGTCTCATGTGTGGGGGGGAAAAGGCTGCATCTACACTGGGGATTGCTATACGCTGTATACTCCCCTGGCTATAATCACTTAGCTCTTTTAGGAGCTTGTTCCTGCTTCGCTCTCTGAAGGAAGAGAGGTTCACCCACTGGAGCCTTGTTGTAGGTCCACGGTGGGTAGGAGACGGCTAGACCCCAACTAAGCTGTGGCGGTTCGTGGGGTCTGCAGTGCTTATAGTCAGGGACGTATTAACCGCAAGGCAAACAAGGCATTTGCCTTGGGTGCACTTTCCAGGGGGCGGCAAAAAAAGCCACCCCCAAATGCCCAGGGCAAATATCTTGTTAGCCATGCAGCTAACAAACAATCCGGTCGGGCGGCGGGAGCACTTTCCCCTGAGCGCTCTGCTCAGCTCCCTCGCGCGCCGCAGAGTGATGCCTAGGGCAGCACAAAACCACGATACACCACTTCTTATGGTGTCAAGTGGCGTGCATGGAGCCCTCAGGAAGCACTAGAAGTATCCATCAACAGAGGTACCCAGTCGGGGTGCCAGGTGATCCGTTACACCAATGTTTTAAAACCTTGTTTGCAATTATTAAGTATAACCCCCCCAACCCTATGCCCCAACAGTTCATCTATTTTAATTATAGTTAAAAAGTTTAAGTGAGATGTATTCTTCCACTAAGATTGTGATGATGTCATTTTGGTGGGAAATTCAAATTTTAATGCAATTATATGTTTCCTATATAAACCAATGTCTGTCAGGTACTATGTTCTTATCAGTTTCTACTTGAGGAAGCCTGTTGAGGCGAAACGCGTCTAGAAACCTTTTATAATTTTTTGCGTTAAATAAAGGCATTTTTGGCCATATACAATATTGTTGCCATATTCCTTTTTTTCACTTTATTTTAATCAATTTTTATTTTATTTTTATTTTACGTTATTTTTTTATATCCTGACCTGACATCATTGTTTTATCATCCATAAGAAGCACAAAGAATGCCAAGGTGGGGATTATACCACCCATACGCTGTACATCGAGCAGTGAGCCTGCTCAATATATTGTGAGTATATTTCATACTTTTTATCCTTTTAAATAGAGACACAGTGAGCACTATATTTTATTTTCTCTCCTTCCGAGCTGGACTACTCTGCTGACATATATATACCTGAAAATGAGAGGAATCATACATATCCTTGAGTGGGGATCATTCCACTTCACGCATTCCAAACCAGAGCTGGATTTAAGCTCTGGATATTGTAAGTAGTTCCTTACTAATATATCCAAATATTGAGTATACTTATATACTGTACCATTGGAGTCCTCTTTCTTCTGCTTCTCCCTTACATGTGCCACTGGACAATCAGTCTTTACTTGTGACTACACATCCTACCTGCTGTTCAACTAAGATCTCTAATATTTCATATTATTTGTTTTTTTTAGGCGCTCCCTTTTCTTCTTCTTTTTTCATTTTCCATACTTATCCTGAGGGGACTAGAGAGGACCATCCCCCTATAGGTGTGCTGCCTATACCCTTCATATTTATATATTTTTTTTCCATAGTCACTATGATAGATTTAAAGCAGGATTATTGGACACCACAATGTTTTGACCTGTACCCAGGTCTTTATCAAGTTTCCAGTGTCCCCTTCGCATCACAGTCTCAGTGCTCCATGTCTCCCAGTGTCCCCTCGTGTCTCAGTTACCCAGTGTCCCCATGTCTCCCAGTGTCCCCAAGTGTCTCAGTGTCCCCAAGGTCTCTCAATGTCCCCTGGTGTCCTATTGAAATGGGGACACTGGGAGACATGGGGATACAGACATGCCCCCTTTTTGGGTATGTTCGCCCCTTTCGGCCACTCTTGTTTTGTGATTTGCATCAGTGGCCCACCTTTTTATCCCATCCATAGACTTCCTGCTGTACCGGACACCGCTGTTAATGGGCATGGATTAATTTGAAAGATGAAAGCATGAGATTAGCATAGGGTTTCCTTCCTGCACCATCTCCATTAAATACATGACGCTTGGGAGGTAGGACTGTTTTAGTGTTTTTGAATTAATTAATTCAAAGTGAATTTCACATTTGAGGCCAAAAAGCTGAAATGGAAACATTCTCCAAGTCAGCTATGCTTCCAATTTGGCTATTTTGTCCTTAAATTGAAATTTACTTTAAAGTCGTACTGTAGTAAATAACCCTGAAAATGTTCATCAAATATGTGTCTTGGTTTTAACAACATTAAATGAATAATTTACCTCCCTAATATTAATGTCTAATGGACTACAAGAAGGGAGACCTAGATCAACAGCCGGCACAGCTTAACCCTTTCACTGACTGAGATATGCCGTGCATTAGTTTACTCCAAAACAATTCACTATTTCTACTCCAGCCCTGAAAGGGTTTAAAGGAATATTTGCAACACCTTAACCAGTCTGCTGCAGTAGTTATGGTACTAGGAGTACCCTCGCACCCCCAGTGTAAGTAGTCAAAGAAGGAGCTTCCATTAACTCCACTTTTTTAAGCTTGATGGCTGAGGGAGTAGGCTGAGCTCTCTCAACCAATGAGCTGAGCCCTGGACCACTGATTTAGCTCAATGCAGGAGATTCTGGGCCACAAGTGGATGTTCCCTGTCACAAAAAGTTTGACTACTTATCCTGAGAGGGCAGTAGGGCACTCCAGGTACTATAACCACTGCAGACTGCTGGTGCTTGGAGGATTCCTTTAAGGGAGTGTGTACTATACAGCTACAAAGAAACCAGGGGATGAGGCCTTAGGAAGGTGTCTGTGAGATATAGTATGGACTGAATCTATAGTTATATTTGAAACCCAGCAACAGCCACGGAAATAAAACACTCAAAAGAACAAACCGACATGAGTATAACAGGATTAATTTAAAAAATATATACTTTATTGTTTTAATAAATTAACAATATACAAAATATGTGTGTAGGAAAACAATAGTGTTTCTGACAAGTGTGAAGGCCAGTGAACCATGCATGTTGTTAATGTGAGTTTCACTGTGTATTTTATTTGGCAATGATGACACTACCAAGTGCAATTCTAAATCATGTTTTTATGCCACCGTTAATGTGTTTGTTTCATAACATGGGATTGCCTTTGTATCTGAATAAATATTTTGTTTGCTCAAGTGTTAGAGCTGCCGATAGGCAGTGTATGACTGTTTGTGTTTGACTTTGCAGGATTGTCTGAATTTGTCTTTGATAAATGTTTGTGCTTGTGTATATGTGTTTCTTTGTGCATAAAAGTTGGTGTTGTTGCCTGAATGATTTTGAATGTATTTATGTGAAGGAATCTGCAGCCTTGTCCCTGTGCATACGTTGTGTTTATCCATGTGTCCCTGCAATGAGTAGCCTTTTTGTTTGTTTCACTGCTCTTTTCGTCTAGATTCCAGTTCTACCTCTTTATGAATTTGCTCTATTGTTTTCGGTCCCTGAGGTGTATGTCGAGGTACCCAGTTATTTTTTCTTAATTCCATCACATCCTGCACCAAAAATCGAATCCGCGAAGAGGTTTTCTGGTTTTTAATAAAGATGTCAATCTTGTTGATATAGTTGTCCAAGCGACACTGTCCATTTTCCAAGGATTTTCCAATTGTAGTGAGCAAAAGGCAGATACATTCAATGGACTCCTCGCTGTTCCTGTTTAGTAGTTTCATTAGGCAGTCTTTCATGGTGTCTTCAGAGAGAAATTTTAGCTTAAATAGCTCCCCAATAAATTTGATGTTTCCTTGGTATCGCCTGCGTGCTTTATTACAAGCATCACTTAATTCGTCTTTTAGTAGGGCCTTTTCCCTCGGTGATGTGGCAGCATCCAGTTCCTTTTGAAGTTTCTCAATTCTTTCATTCCCATTTTCACCTCCCTCAAACTCCTTCTGGCAGAGTCTTATTAGCAGCCTACGGAATGTAATGCTTTCTTCAGGGTTGTCTTCCGTTGGGACCTCAAGCATCATTAGCCAGTTGCACATGCTGGCGTATACAACAGCAAAATGTGGCTCTGCTACTGCTTTTTCAAATATGACTTCTACAACACCTTTCAGTTGATATTCTGTATGTATAGAGAGGTCTTTCACCTGCTTGGTTAAGTGCTGGAATGTCTGAGGTGTGATTTTATTTAGAATGCTGCGAACTTTGCGAACCAATTCTTGAGCCTTGGCAAGAGTGTGATCTTCATTTGCTCTTTTCATGGGAGGTTTCCAAGCCTTTTCAGATGTATGCGGTTTTACATTCTCATTTACTTGAAGGATTTTGCGAAGTTCTGTACCAGGAGCTTGCGGGGACCTCATTTGGCCCATTCCACACGGCAGTCTGTAATTATTCTTAGCAGGGTGGATGAAATTTGCAGTTAGAGGTGTACATTTCCTGTTGGTAAATCGTGATGGATCCACTGGTCGAAGGTGAGGTCTAATGAGCATACCTTGGTAGAGTTTTGCAATCTCAGACAAATCCCTTGGCTCTTGTGTTATAGATTTGAATTTAAGTAAAGATTCCCTGTCATAGTGTATCCTTTCCACCTTTGTCTCAATATTTGTCTTCTCTTGGAGTACAGGTACTGGAAGGTCTTGACTTTTCTTTCGAACTATATCAGCCTCACCAGGTGGCTCTTTTTCTTTGTCTTCTGGCAATGGCTGCTCTTCATGGTCACTGCTCAGACACACATGTTTTCCTGGCTGATTAGTCTTCATCTCAGTTTGTTCCTGCTCAGGGGTACCCTTTTGATTGATTAGAAGCAATTCCTCTGGCTGAACAGTGGGGCAATCCAAAGTAGTTTTGGAGTGATAAATCACAGTGTCAGAGCTTACTGGTAGCTCCTCTAACATTTCACCAGTGCTTGATTTGGCCGGACAAACTGGGCCCACTAGAAGAATACCTGGATCTTGATCTTTGACAGCCTCCCGAGAATGTAGATTCATAGGCTCAGGTTGACAATCCAAAGTGGACTGTGGCTGGCCAAGGTTTACTGGCAGCTCCTCTAACATTTCACTAGTGCCTGATTTGGCAGGACAAACTGGGCCCACCAACAGAATACCTGGATCTTGATCTTTGACAGCCTCCTGAGAATCTAGGTTCATAGGCTCAGGTTGACAATCCAAAGTGGACTGTGGCTGACCAAGGTTTACTGGCAACTCCTCTGTCAATCCACTTGTATGAGGTCCGATAGTAGTAACAGGGCATTCTAGAGAAGTGTTGTCTTCTAGATGTGTGATAACCTCTGTAGGCTCTAGAGAGGTAGGCTGTAGTAAAATAGCTGTAAGTGGGTTCTGAGAATCTAGATTTGTAGGCTCACGTGGACAACCTAAAGTGAACTGTGTCTGAACAAGGTTTACTGACAATTCCTCTGTTAATCCACTTGTATGTGGTTCAATAGTAGAAACAGGACATTCTAGAGAAGTGTTGTCTTCTAGATGTGTGATAACCTCTGTAGGCTCTAGAGAGGTAGGCTGTAGTAAAATAGCTGTGAGTGGGTTCTGAGAATCTAGATTTGTAGGCTCATGTGGACAACCTAAAGTGAACTGTGTCTGAACAAGGTTTACTGATAATTCCTCTGTTAATCCACTTGTATGAGGTTCAATAGTAGAAACAGGGCATTCTAGAGAAGTGTTGTCTTCTAGATGTGTGATAACCTCTGTAGGCTCTAGAGACCTTGCCTGCAGCAAGTGACAGGGAATATCCTCTAGACTTGTGACCGCTTCAGGCTGTGGAATAATATTGTGTGTACAATACTCTGCAGAATACTTTTTTTCATTTTCCAGTTCTTTTTTGTCTACTTCTTTTTCTTGGACATTTGTAGCCTTTTTAGTTGTTTTATATTGTTTTGGACATAATGTAGGCTTTACCTTAGAGAAAATGAACGCGTCTCTGCAATTAAAAAATAAAAAAAGTTAACAAACAGTTGTAACAATTATGTCCCTTTCTCCCTTTCCATCCATCAGCTCATTTTGTCACTTATCTTATTCCTCTTCAGCTTTCCTCTCACTTTCAGTCCTTCAGCTACCCTATCACTCGTTATCTATCAGTCATTATTGCACAGCTTATAGTGACACTATCAGATCATTTATGTTACGCACATTACATTCTGGTTACAGTAATTCCAGTAAATAGTTTACTTTGTACCATTAAAACTTCTGTTTATATTAAAATACATATCTTATAGAAATTAGGTAATGCCTGGTAAGGCACTTGCTGTAGTACTCCTCAGTGATTTGTGATGTTGACTCAGAAAGAACATTGACATCTTTCTCTATCTGTGGTTATGTTATATCTCTGGAATAACAGAGTGTGTTTAGGAGATGATACAAGAAGCCATTAGATATTATGCATTGCTATTTGGGTTGTATTGTAATAATTAAATATTCCAATTTGAGATTTGTGATGTTGGCTCAGAAAGAACATTGACGTCTTTCTCTATCTGTGGTTCTTCTCTCATTGGTTTCCTGTGTACACAGACAGGCAGTGAGAGAACCAGGGTATTGGTTTACTGAGGACACTGAAGGTTTATTTGGATAACCTTATTGGATTATGGTCAGTCATTCTGCGTCTCATGATACACTTACCTAGGTGGCCGAGCACATGTCATTAGTTGGTTAGTTTCTCGTGGAGTCACCCGAATATAGTATGGTACATCGGGGATCTTCTCCTCTTTTCCATATCTGACATAGTTATTATAATGTCTAAAGAATTTGAAGAAAAACACACCAGAAAACAAAAGGTCAGGCTAATTCTTCCAGCACCCAGTGGAGAGGCTAAAACCTCAATTTGTTAAAACAAACATCAACAATAGAAAAAAAAGATGTCTCCCCTTTGATTAATGTGATCACAGTATTTACCTTTTTTCAAGCACAGCAAATTTAGATACAACAGGAGTGGGAATGCAAAGTCTCTTTGTGCTTTTTTGGCAACATTTTAGACTTTCTTCCACCCATCTCTTCCCCTTCTCAGAATCTGGAGAAATTTCCAGATTAGGTGATATTTGGGGGAATGTCTGGGGCTCTGCTTTAAGTGGTAGCCTGTTTAGGAAAGAAAGAGTGATTATTGGAGTTTCATATTTCACACGTTTCATGTTATATTTCTGAAATCGCTGAATATATTTCTGAAAAAACGGAGTGTGTTTAAGAAATGATAGAAGAAGCCATTATATATTACAGGTTATTATTTGGGTCATATTGTAATGATTACATTTTCCAATTTGAGATTTGTGATGTTTACTCAGAAAGAGCATTGACATCTTTCTCTGTCTGTGGTTCTTCTCTCATTGGTTTCCTGTGTACACAGACAGCCAATGAGAGAACCAGGGTATTGGTTTACTGAGGACACTGAAGGTTTATTTGGATAACCTTATAGGATTATGGTCGGTCATTCTGTGTCTCATGATACACTTACCTAGGTGGCCGAGCACATGTCATTAGTTGGTTAGTTTCTCGTGGAGTCACCCGAATATAGTATGGTACATCGGGAATCTTCTCCTCTTTGACAAATCTGACATAGTTATTATAATGTCTAAAGAATTTGAAGAAAAACACACCAGAAAACAAAAAGGTCATTAATAAATTGATGTTATATTTCTGGAATAACAGAGTGTGTTTAAGAGATGATACAAGAAGCCATTAGATATTATGCATTGCTATTTGGGTTGTATTGTAATGATTAAATATTCCAATTTGAGATTTGTGATGTTGGCTCAGAAAGAGCATTGACATCTTTCTCTATCTGTGTTTCTTCTCTCATTGGTTTCCTGTGTACACAGACAGCCAGTGAGAGAACCAAGATATTGGTTTACTGAGGACACTGAAGGTTTATTTGGATAACCTTATAAGATTATGGTCGGTCATTCTGTGTCTCATGATACACTTACCTAGGTGGCCGAGCACATGTCATTAGTTGGTTAGTTTCTCTTGGAGTCACCCGAATATAGTATGGTACATCGGGAATCTTCTCCTCTTTTCCAAATCTGACATAGTTATTATAATGTCTAAAGAATTTGAAGAAAAACACACCAGAAAACAAAAAGGTCATTAATAAATTGATGTTATATCTCTGGAATAACAGAGTGTGTTTAGGAGATGATACAAGAAGCCATGAGATATTATGCATTGCTATTTGGGTTGTATTGTAATGATTAAATAATTCAATATGTATTTCTGACACTATAGATATATTATTTAGTCCCTCAGCCCCCTGCCAGGAAAGTAAAAGGATAAAAACTCACTTTTTTCCAATGCCACGTGGGGCTCCTTGCATCTGGCTCCACCCCTGATCTGCCTCCTTGGCTGACATATTTATAATTGATCTTAGCCAATCCAATGCTTTACCTTAAGAAAGCACTGAATTGGCTAAGATAGTCAATTTTGATTATCTCAACCAAGGAGGCATGCTGGGGGCGGAGGCAATGCTGCCCTGGCCAATCAAAAATTGATGCATCTTGAAGAGGAATGTTCAGTGTCTTCATGCAGAGCGTGGAGATGCTGAATGTCAATGCTGCACACTCTGCAGCACTGCCACAGGAAGCACCTATAGTGGCTGTCTGAGTGACTGCCACTGGAAGTGTCCCTAAGGAGCAATGTAAACACATTTTTTACATTACAAAACCTGCAAGGACAGACTATAGACACCACAATCACTATATTAAGCTGTAGTTGTTCTGGTGACTATAGTGTCCCTTTATTCCTATATATTTTACTTTTTTTTTTAAACACCCCTGTATATCATGCCTGCTTTTTTTTTTTCTTTTCAAATGCCATCACTGCAAATGAGCTAGGCTGAACACATTCATGGATTTGATCTTTTTTTTTTAATCTCATCTGTTTAGAAAAATAACTAAAAGGTGAAACTCAAATTCAATTTTAAGGCTTTTACCTCTTAGATTACTACCATTCATTTAAAGAACTTTCCAGTAGATTTCATAATGTTATTTACAGAAATGATGCCCATTAACAAACCATCCTTTATTCTAACCTCTATCGAACTCTGACCCCATCTTCCAATAACCCCATCTAATATACCTGCAGCAACTGTCCACTTACCTGTCCGTAGAAGGCCGATAAGGAATATCCTCTAGACTTGTGACAGGTTCAGGCTGTAGAATATTATCCTGTTTATGACACTCTGCACAATAATTTACACTTTCAGCCTTTTTAGTTGTTTTGTATTGTTTTGGAAGTAATTTAGGCTTCACCTTAGAGAATAGGAATGGGTCCCTGCAATTAAAATAGGAAACGTTAAAATACAGTTCTAACAATTATATCCTTTTCTCCCTTTCCATCCATCAGCCCATTTTGTCACTTATCTTATTCGTCTTCAGCTTTCTTCTCACTTTCAGTCCATCAGCTACCCTATCACTCGTACTCTATCAGTCATTATTGCACAGCTTATAGTGACACTATCAGATCATTTATGTTACGCACATTACATTCTGGTTACAGTAATTACAGTAAATAGTCTAATTTGTACCATTAAAGCTTCTGTTTATATTAAAATACATATCTTATAGAAATTAGGTAATTCCTGGTAAGTCAAGTTGCTGTAGTACTCCTCAGAAATTTGTGATGTTGGCTCAGAAAGACCATTGACATCTTTCTCTATCTGTGGTTCTTCTCTCATTGGTTTCCTATGTACACAGACAGCCAGTGAGAGAACCAGGGTATTGGTTTACTGAGGACCCTGCAGTTTTATTTGGATAACCTTATACGATTATGGTATGTCATTCTGTGTCTCATGATACACTTACCTAGGTGGCCGAGCATATCGAATTTCCAAGTTGGATTTTTTTGGAGTCACCCGAATATGGTATGGTACATCAGGTTTCTTCTCCTCTTTTCTATATCTGACATAGGTATCATAATGTCTAAAGCTTTTGAACAAAAACAAAAAAGGTCAGGCTAATTCTTCCAGCACCCAGCCTAGAGGTTATTATCGCAATTTGTTAATGTGATCATATAGTATTTACCTTTTATCAAGCACAGCAAATTTAGATGTAACAGAAGGGGGAAGGCGACGTCTCTCTGTGCCTTGTTGGCAACATTTTAGAATTTCTGCCACAAACCCACCATTCTGCTCCCGTGGCTCCCATCTCTTCCCCTTCTCAGTTTCAGGAGAAATATCCAGATTAGATGATAATTGGGGGAATGTCTGGGGCTCTGACTTAAGAGGTAGCCTGTTTAGGAAAGAGAAAATGATTAGTGAAGTCTCATATTTCATACATTTGATGTTTTGTGTTTGAAATAACTGAGTGTGTTTAGGAGATGATAAAATAAATCATTATATATTATGCATTGTTATTTGGGTTGTATTATAGTGGTTAAATAATTCGATTTAATGTGTAAAACCTGTGAAATTCTTCAAGACTCATTTCATCCCAGGATGGTGCTGTCTGATTATGGACTCAAAACACCTTTATTAATTGCTATATATTTTCCTTTTTTTTGCACCCCCGTATATAATGCCCGCCTATTTTATATCAATCACTACAAATGGGCTAAGCTACACATTCATTGTTGTGTTCATTTTTTATCTCATCAGTTAGGAAAAATAACAAGTATCAAACACAAATTCACATTTTAAGGATTTTACTCCCATTCATATAATGACAACACAATTCAATCTACAGGAAAGCTGTGTTATTTATAGAAATGATGCCCATTAATAAACCATCCTTTATTCTACTCTTTATCAAACTCTGAACCCCATCTTCTAATATACCTGCAGCCGCTATCCACTTACCTGTCCGTAGAAGGCTGGATGTTCGGCTGTTTTCTGAATTCTTTTTTAGTAGAATTCCTGGGTGGGGGTTGAGTACCCGCCAGCCATGAAACCAGGGGACGTTCAATCGTAGAAATAACGTTACCCATTGTCTCTGTAAATCATCTCACTGCAATGAAACTGCTTGTGAAATGCCAGTATAAACAGCAGTAACAGGGTTATCTGTTACCTGCTTAGTGACATCACAATGTGTTATCTGGTTTGTGACATCACAATAGAACCTGATGATCTATGATGTAGGAAACATGGCTGACTGCATGATGTCTATGGAAATTAAACACAATAGAAAATTAAAATAGCATTTAAATGACAGGCAAATAAACAACTTAAAGGACCACTCTAGGCACCCAGACCACTTCAGCTTAATGAAGTGGTCTGGGTGCCAGGTCCAGCTAGGGTTAACCCATTTTTTAATAAACATAGCAGTTTCAGAGAAACTGCTATGTTTATTAATGGGTTAAGCCTTCCCCCTAATCCTCTAGTGGCTGTCTCATTGACAGCCACTAGAGGCGCTTGCGTGCTTCTCACTGTGATTTTCACAGTGAGAGCACGCAAGCGTCCATAGGAAAGCATTGTAAATGCTTTCCTATGCGACGGGCTGAATGCGCGCGCAGCTCTTGCCGCGCGTGCGCATTCAGCCCGATCGGAGGCGGAGAGGAGGAGGAGAGCTCTCCGCCCAGTGCTGGAAAAAGGTAAGTTTAAACCCCTTTCCCCCTTCCAGAGCCGGGCGGGAGGGGGTCCCTGAGGGTGGGGGCACCCTCAGGGCACTATAGTGCCAGGAAAACGAGTATGTTTTCCTGGCACTATAGTAGTCCTTTAAGAAAAAAAAGTTACCTGGGTAGGGTTGAGCGAATCCGGACTGTAAAGTTCGAGTTCGTACCGAACATTACGTTTTTTGGACCCCAGACTCGAACAAGGACATATCACCGTATGTTCGGGTTGGAGTTCGGTGTTCAGCGATTTAATGGCGCGTTTTGAAAGGCTGCAGGGCAGTCAATCAAAAAGCGTTTGACTCGTGTGCCCTTAGAAGCCATCACAGTCATGCCTACTAATGGCATGGCTGTGATTGGCCAGTGCAGCATGTGACCCAGCCTCTATATATAAGCTGGATTCACGTAGTGCCACACGCACATGAGTTCTTATTAGTGTAGGGAGAGGATGCTGCCGCTGTGAGGGACAGCTTAGGAAAGAATTCTGCAAACTAGTACATTAGTGGGGTGCACTTCATATCTGAGAGTCAAATAGAAGCGTCAAATACTGCGGTTACATCGGAGTTTTAAAACTTTAATTTTTTTTGGTGCTAAATAGTACATTAGTGGGGTGCACTTCATATCTGAGAGTCAATAGAAGCTGTGATGAGACCAATCTCGCCACTGTGCATTGAAGGAGCCTGGTTGCCTGCCTGCTGCCTTTTGACTATGGACAGGCATTTAAATACTTTATTTGCCTATGCAGAAAGGTCTATTCATGTATTTCTGCCCGGGCGTTCGGTAGATTCTATCTACCGAACAAACAGCCATCTATTGGCCTCCCAGGAGCCGGGGTTAGCTGGCAGGCGCCGTTAATTGGCCACCCAGAAGCCGGCGAGCACCGTCAATTGCCCACCCAGAGCTGCGGTTAACCATACTACTTTTCCAGGCGAGCCATACATTCCCTGCACAACCAATTGGTGGACAAAATCAGGTGTGCACTGCGCAACTCCATCAGTGGCAAGGTCCACATAACCACAGATACGTGGACCAGTAACCACGGGCAGGGACGCTATATCTCCCTAACAGCACACTGGGCAAATGTAGTGGCGGCTGGGCCTGAGGCAGATAGCAGTTTGGCGCATGTCCTTCCGCCACCGAGGATTGCAGGGCATTTCTCTTTGCCTCCTGTTGCCTCCTCCTTCTACTCCTCCTCCTCTACCACCACCTCATCCAGGCAGCATAACACCTTCACCACCAACTTCAGCACAGCCAGGGGAAAAACGACAGCAGGCTGTTTTAAAACTCATATGTTTGGGGGGGAAAAAACACACCGTGCAGGAGCTGTGGACCGGCATGGAACAGATCGATGAGTGGTTGTTGCCACTGAGCCTCAAGCCCAGCCTGGTGGTGTGCGATAATAGGCGAAATCTCGTAGCAGCTCTGGGCCTAGCCGGTTTGACGCACATCCCTTGCCTGGCGCATGTGCTGAATTTGGTGGTGCAGAAATTCCTGAAAAACTACCCAGATATATCAGAGCTGCTCCAGAAAGTGCGGGCCAGCTGTGCGCGCTTTCGGCGTTCTCACCCTGCTGCTGCTCATCTGTCTGTGCTAAAGCATAACTTTGGCCTTCCCACTCACTGCCTCATATGCAACGTGCCCACAAGGTGGAACTCCACCTTGCACATGCTGGATATACTGTGCGAGCAGCAGCAGGCGATACTGGAGTTTCAGATGCAGCACGCACGGGTCAGTCGCTCTGCGGAACAGCACCACTTCACCACCAATGAGTGGGCCTCCATGCGAGACCTGTGTGCCATTTTGCACTGTTTCGAGTATTCCACCAACATGGCCAGTGCCGATGACGCCGTTCTCAGCCTTACTATCCTGCTTCTATGTCTCCTTGAAAAAAACGCTTCGGGCAATGATGGAAGAGGATGTGGCACAGGAGGAAGAGGAGGAGGAAGAGGGGTCATTTCCACGGTTATCAGGCCAGTCATTCACAAGTGGCTTGGAGGGTGGGTTCCTGCTCCAGCATAGGCCAGGTACACAATTGTCCAGCCAGGGCATAGTTCTGGAGGATTAGGAGGAGGAACCGTGTTCACAGCAGGCTGGCACCCAACGCAGCTCGTGGGCATCACTGGAGCGTGGCTGGGGGGATACAGAGGACACAGATGATACACCTCCCACAAAGGACAGCTTGTCCTTGCCTCTAGGCAGCCTGGCACACATGAGCGACTACATGCTGCAATGCCTGCGCATCGACTGCCGAGTTGCCCACATTCTAACTTGTGCTGATTACTGGGTGGCCACCCTGCTGGATCCCCGTTAAAAGGACAACGTGCCATCCTTAATTCCCTCACTGGAGCGTGATCGGAAGATGCGCGACTACAAGCACATGCTGGTAGATGTGCTGCTGAGGGCATTCCCAACTGACACCGGGGACTCAGTGGAAGCACAAGGCGAAGGCAGAGGAGGAGGTCGCCAACTGAGGTGGAGCACCGCCAGCACCTCAGAAGGCAGGGTTAGTGTAGCGGAGAGGTAGTATCATCCACAATATCTCCACTGGTAGACAGGAACAGCATGTAGTAATCCAGGTAAAACAAGTACAGCATACAATAATCCCGGTAGCGTTATACAGATCCTTCCTTCCCAAGAACTAGATGACACATAGGCTGGGAGTCAACTGAGGTTTTATTCACAAGCTCCAGTATTTATGTGGTTCCCCATGCAAGGGGTTTCCTGACTGACTTTACAGGGGTTGTACAGTAGGGGACTACATGGGGAACTTAACAACCAAGATATTTCTCCCTCCATGCACTGCTGTACGAGAGGGATACTCCCACTAGAATATCCTGTTAAATGGATTATCCCTCTGTACAGCAGAACTGGCTTTTTACATAAAAATCTATAACTTTAATATTATTCGTGCTATTGTACCGAATAACCATTCGGCAGATAGCTGGGGTCTGAGCGCATACTTCGTGAAAGTACCGCTCAGATCCTAGCACAATTAGCCGAACGCCGCATGAAATACACTTGAACACAAATTCTTAACAAAAAGTCCCGAATACACATGCAGAGATAAAATATCGAAAGACCGGTGCTCCTGAATGACCTGGAAGTCCAGTGGGATTCGTGCCGTCGAGTAGCCGATTTTAGTTCCGGGCACTCGACGACCAAACACCGCTGGGCTAACAAAGGATCCAAGATGGACACTGCCGCGTGGTCGGTATCCGAACGGCGGCCACCCTGAACATCTATTAACTGCCGATAGATACTTTGTTGCGATCCGTAATGGGAGCCACACGACCTCCTGTGTGTGGTCTCCCATTCGGTAGTTTGTTCGTTTCACGAACAGTGTTGAAATTCACTGTTCGTGAAACTACTGTATGAATGCTGGTGGCTTTCGTGCCCCCAGCATTCGAATGCTCTCGTTCACATAAAATACAGAATAGGGAACATGGACAGTTCAGGTAGTCTTAAAGCCACAATATCACATACATGTAAATACAGTCTTAAGTGGGAAATACAGTGCTGACTGATGGGTCTGCCCCATTCAACTTCTGGGTCTCCAAATTGGGCATATGGCATGAGCTTGCCCTATATGCCTTGGAGGTGCTGGCCTGCCCTGCAGCCAGTGTATTGTCTGAACGTGTGCTTAGCACGGCAGGGGGCGTTATCACAGACAAGCGCAGCCAACGTGGACAATCTCACGTTTATTAAAATGAACCAGGCATGGATCCCACCAGACTTGTCTGTACCTTGTGCAGAATAGACATTTATACCGGCGTCACCCAGACATTGTTATACTCAAGTGCACTTATTATTTGTTTTCTTTTTTTTTTTTTTATGTTCCAATATTTTGGGGGCTACCCAAATAAATTATTATTATTATTTTTTTTTTAAATTAAAATAAAAAACAGTGTTGGCTACCTCCTCCACTCAACACACTGTGTGTGTCTGCTAGTGAGTGTGTGTGTCTGTTAGTGAGTGCGTGTTACTGTCAGTGAATGTGTGTATTTAGAATTCAGGGCAGGGGGGAAGGGTTGGGTGGGGGTGCCATGCGGGGGGGGGGCGCCTGAGTTTTGTCCTGCCTAGGGCAGCACAAAACCAGGATAGACCACTGGCGGAGGGGGTAGGGGCCGGAGCCGTGGCGCCCACCTGGGCACCTAGGTAGTGTCTGAGCAATGCGGCAGGGTCTAGATCCCTCCCGGCGTCTCAGAATAAGCCTCCCATGGCTCCTAGACTTGGTTGAATTTTTTTTATCGTCCCCCGGACATGTGCTGTCAGTTTGTCCATGAGATAATTGTCTTTAAGTTTTAAAAGTATCATGTTCATTGTTGGGGTTTTGGGTTGCAACCATTTCGGTGAGACTCCAAAAGGAGTCGAATGGGAGA